ATTAACCTTTCTCAAGTCGACAATCTGTTCCCGTAGCAGTTCTTTCTCTTCCTCTGCACTCTTGCTGCGGCCAAACTGAGCATTCAACTTTTCCTGATAATTTGTCTCATTAGCTTGGTGATCAGACATAGTCTATAAACAGTTTGTAAAACAATAGGAATCAAGTTTTGTAACTTTTCAAAGTACAAAATTGACAAGAAGGACATGAACACGGTCTGTGCAACTGATTTTGCATAATCCCATTCAAATATTTCAAATAATATTGATCAGACTTGACAATATCACAAGCTAAGGTAGATGAATGGAATTAAACAGAGCAATTATTGATTCTTCATTCTTCCCTGCTCCTTTCAACATTCAGTCTAATTAGCAGTCTTAAATCTAATAACAGGAGGAGATCTTTTAACTTAGCTTAGCTTTACAGTTTTTCGTAGATGATAAAGAAGTGTTGCCTCAAATTTCAGTTTTAAAAAAGCATTTCTGTTGCCAAATATGAGTTGAGTGCAAGTATTGTGTACAAACTTGTTCTCAATATCCACAAGTAGTTTTTTTCAGGCCATTTTGGTATACATCACCTAGTAAAGGTACTGCATAATTTCAACAAAAGTCAGTTAAGTACTACACGTACAAATAAGGCTATAGCTTTCAATTAATAATCACAGAGCTCAGGGATACAGGAATAATCAACTGAACAATTACTTTTTAATAACTGACATTAGTTAAGGCCAATACTCTGCTGTCTATACAAAACTACATTACACACCCTGCCAGGGGAGGGGGATGGGGGAGACAATGCACTGTTATTTGACGGGGTTTTCTACCTATATCTCACCTTATTAAGTTTGAGTTTTGTTTCTGACAGCTCTTCTCTTAATTTTGTTGCTTCATCCGTGGCCCTTGCAAACTTTGCCTTCAGTGTATTAAGCTGATAAAGAGCAACACAATATTAACATAAGTTGGATTAAGTATAGCAACTTTCAACTTCCTGTCATTGCAGCCAAAACTGTTGAGGTTGCTGGACTTAAAAGTACAAAGTGTTCTATCAGTTTTAGTTTATGAAATCCAAAACATAAAGATAAGGAAGCAAAAAAAGATGAATATCCAGTTTTTTACTATTTTCGTAAAAGTATCATATAAGAAAAAGTCAGTACAGATCTGGGAAAAATTAATCCAAAACTTTAAATATAATTATTTGGAAACCTGCATACCATCAGCATAAACTTATAAGGTATTAATCCAAAATCTCTCTTACATAAACAGTTGTGTTTCTTTGTTTCTTTGCTTCTTATGCTTATCATTGTATACCTCACGCTCTGCCTAGAAGTACAATGTAACCCCCTATGTTCAACAAATTATTTGCTTTGTCCAGTTAATATGGTGATCTGGACAGATGATGTTCTTTTTAAAAAAATATTGCATGCCTGTTTTAAATTTTTCAGTCAGAATCTAGAATGACTGCTAACCTCATCTTTCGAAGACTTGTCCTTTAATTCAATATCCTCTTCTTTCTCTGCGAGTGTTCTCTCTGCCTCTCCTAGCTGTAATGTTAAATTCTCAATCTGCTTAATGTGCCGTTCAACTGTATCATCTGCTGTTTTGAGACGTTCTTGGAGACTGCTTTTTTCATCAGTTAGCTGTTGTATCCTTATTTCCTGTCTAGTAGATTTACAATCTTCTCAGAGATACATGCAATTGACTACTTAAACAGTACTTAAATGTGCATAGATAATCAAAATCTCTGATCACTAACCACAAAAAATTCACTAAAAAAAACAACTACTAAGTTATTAATTGTTGTTTTTCAACAATTATTGTTGTTAGTAACTTGTTATAATGAACTATTGTAGAAGTACATAACACAAATTAATTTGTCTGTAACTTACTTCTGAGTTGATGATTTGGCTTCACTCAAAACACTGTTCTGTGTGTATGAGATTAAAACAGGTTTAGTGCAATATTAGACCAAAAACTGCATTAGCTTTGCCAGTTTATCAAAGATCCGTTCAAGGGGGGCCAACACGGAAGAAAATGTAAAGTGATCTCAACCTGGTAAACATGCATGGCAGATACATGTATGACCTTCATTAATAATAATTCCTGAGTCATGGGAAAGATACCCTAAAATTCCGAAAATAAGCCCCTGGTCTTATATTTTTCAAAGGCCCTTTTTGAGAGGCTTATTTTTGGAGGGGCTAATATTCGGAGGGGCTTATCTACGGAGGGAAATTTGCATCTAAAAACCAATTGGGCTAGCCTTATTATAGTTGGAATTAAATTTACCATTTTTGCTTTGTTTTACTTTGTATTTGAGGGTAATTTTCCAAGTACAAGCCCCCCAGGGGCTTATATTTGGAGGGGCTTTCACATGGAGGGGCTTATTTTCAGGATTTTACGGTATGTCATTATCATTTGAGACAAACAAAGTGATAAATAACAATGTTTATATAGCCTGTGCCACAGACGAAACTAAACCCTGGCTTAAAGTCAGTCTGCAAAACAGCCCCAAAATTCTTGTTCTAGGACTCCACCTGGGTACCAGAATTTGAGTACGCGCCATGATTGGCCTGTTAAAAAAGCCACTGTCGATTTGCCAATCAGGATGCAAGGAAATTCGAAATGCACTTCCAGTAATTCATTGAGTCCGCTGGGGGCCCACAAGTTAATAGTTTTGGTGCTGCTTTGCAGATATTACTAACCGGGGTTAAATTACGTCTGTGACGCAGGCCATGTTTATAGTACACAAGAAAAAATTAACCCTTCCAAAAAACCCAAATGTTTATAGTCAAGAGGAATATGGAAATTACAAAGCACCTTTTCAGAAGTAAGTTGAGCTTCTCTATCCCTTATTGTAGTAAGATCCTTCTGTGCTATTTGAAGCCGGCTTTCAATGGTCTTCCTCTCTTCTTCTTGGGTTTTCAGTTTTACCTAATGATGATGCATGTGCAGAGCAAAACACACAAAACAACATTTTTGCAAATGGGCAACAATTAATTATTATTGGGAGATGCATTATTGTAATGCACAATATTATCAGCTACTGTGAGCATATGCAGCAACTAACCTCTGTCTCTTGAAGCTTTTGCTTTGTTCCTGATAGTTCAGTTTTGAGCTTCCTGATGGATGCTTCTTGGCTGATTTTACTCTTATTTAACTCTTCTTTTTCTTTCTCAATTTCTTCCTCTAGTGACTGCACCTGTACATCAAGGGACAACAGACGTTAACACTGTAAACATACATGTACACTCTATGCAAACTGGTATTTTGACACGCAGACTGAATTTTAACCTGCACTGGGAAAAAAAACGAGGACAAACTTCCTTGTGTCTTGTGAATTGTCCAAATGTAATTTCAATGCATGATCCATTAAAAAGACTCTTTAGTACAGGAGTGAAAAATAATGATAATGTTGCAAAAAGAACTTACAGTGGTCTGTAAAGATGTTTTTTCCAATTCAATAGATCTCATTTTGCTCTTTAACTCCTCCACTTCAGCCATAACCTTGTCAGCTTTACTTCCATGGACAGCAGATTTTTCTTTCTCTTGTTCTCTCTCTTCTAGCAACTTAAGTTTTTCTCCTGTGGAGAGGGTAAAAGGTGAGTCATGCATTTTTTTTTTTACATTACTGTGCTTTTCACAAATACGCAAACTTTAAAATTTAAAAGTACCCTTCCCAATTGCGTTTCTCACTGCCCTCAATCATAATTACATTCACAAGCAACGAACCTTGAAACATGGAAACACACAAAACAGATAGAAATCCACCAATCACAGATCACAAAGTTACCATGACCTTTTGAATATTGTCACTTGGCCTTTGAACTTCAGAGTTCGCATGTTTTTGAAAAGTGCAGTAAATTAAAGAAGTGGAAAGTAATATTATTTTGCTCTGCACTCAATAAATGATCCCACATACATGTAAGTACAGTGTTCATTCCAGAGCTCCACTCAAAGGGAACTCAGGGATATTAAAGGGTGGGGGTTTCATGAGCTGAAGTACTGGCATGTAAAATCATAAGGACTTTTCACCAAAATATTTTAAACAGATGCACTTTATTGGTGCATCATTTATAATTATTAATTTGTTTAACACTGTACATTGTCAAGGAGACTTCTTGCTTAAGGTATGGGGGAAGGGGTACCACTTTTAAATTAAGGTACACAGAAAGGGAACATTCTCCATCAAAAGTAGTACAGCAACACTGGTAAGGGGTTAGACCTTGGAGCTACAACCGGAAGCCTCCCCTAGCTTCTATTTAACTTTGTTGAGTAGCCCTTACAAAATATAAATAAAAACATACCTTGGTGTCTGTTAATAAGTTCTGTCATATCTGCATTATGTTGTTTCTGTGCTTTCTGCAGCTCTGATCTCAGACCATCGTTTTCCTCTGTAACCTTCTTCATTTCCTGTTCATGAATCTTCCGCTCCTCCTGTTTAACTTGCTTCATCATTTCACGCATCCTGTTCATCTCATCTTCCATGTCTTTCCTCTCCTCTTCCATAATTTTCATCATCCGCTGGTTGGACTGTTCAGTATCTGAATTCTTTTTGAGATTTTCATTGTCAAGTTCTAGTCTACGTACCTTTTCCGAGAGAGATGTTCTTTCTTTAATCAAATAATTCACTTGTTCCTTTACAGGGTTGGTATCTCTTCCAATTTGTGTCAAACCAGACTCTATGAGCATGTCACAGATGTCTTCTGAAATATAAGCTCCAGCTTCTTTCTCCACCTTCATTTGTTCAAGCTCTGCTTTCAGCTGTTCATTTTCAGCCTCCAAGTCTTGTGTTAAAGCCTCTCTCTCATCTGAAAGCTGCCGGATGTGTGCAACATAGTTTTCCACTTCAATCATTTCCTCACCATGTTGCTTGCGGAGCTGTTCAACACTCTCAAGAGAGGACTTGAGACTGGCTTCGGATCTCGTAAACTGCCTCCAAAAGTAACGAAGTTTGTGTTCAACTGGGATGTTAGTTCTATAACCATCTTTTTGAAGCCTGTCATCAATGTCTTCAAGTTCCCCTGCATCCTAAAATGGGAAAAAAATTGAACATGTCATAGTAGGTTAGTTTAGTTTGGTCAGGTGCTTACTAGGACAACATGGATTCTCTCGCCCAAGTCACTTTAGTCTGGCATTGCCATTCTGAGTTCTCTGACAGTGGTGAACCCAGTGTCCTGAAGCAGAGTGTGTATGTCTGTGCTCCTAGGTCTACTCATAACATACATGTAACATGTCATACTCTAATATTACACTACCCCTTCTTCATTCTTATTCTAACATGGCCTCACATATTATTTCCAAATAATACAATTTTGAAAGGACTGTTTTCATGATTTTCAAGACCTTTTTCAAGGGTTTCAAAAGAACCAGTTACCACGGGTCAACCACAACCCATAGAGGACTTCTTACCACTTATTAAAACTTTTGTTTCTAAGATTGGTAATGGTCTCTTTCCAGGTCATAGCTGCCTATCCCACCATTGGCAACTGCTTACACTGGGAAAAGAAAGTAATTCCCCTGCTTTTTGCACAACCAAATGATATTTAATAAGACCTTTTAGCCCCTCTCTAACTTGCTGGATTAGTTTTTGGTAGTACAAAAGTTCAACTCAACAGCAACAGAAGTGTAAATAGACAATTTAGTGCCCTGGGCGAGTTGGGATTCCTACTTGTTCAGTTCATTTCAACTATTCCTTTCTGTTCTCATTTGTGAGGTACAGTGTACAATGTAAACTGCTGGATTACCAATTCTCTCTTTAATTTTCTTTGGGAAAGGCAAGTTGGCAAATGCATATATATATTTCTGACTATTCTGAAATTCAAAACCAATCACAAAATGTTTGGGGGAAGCCATGTACTTGTTTGTAGTTGTCTTTTTTACCATCACCACTTTACTGCCGACTGTTTAGTGGGAACGATTTACATCCATTTATTATTCTGTCTATTCTTGAAAGGTGCAGTCGCTATATTTGAATAATCTCTTTATTCTCCTGATGTGACAATCAGATTATGAGAAAATTAAGACACAAGCCTACAGTGGAAAACACATCTGGAGAAGAATATTACAGCTGAACAGTTAGATCCTTTTCATGAGGCGAGTTGACAGGAAATGAGAATTTTTATGAGAAATGTAGCATTTGATGAAAAAAGAACTACGGAGCTGAAAATATAAAGTTATGTATTTTAATTCACTAGTTGAATTGACGTTTATTAATCTGTTTGTTTGTTTTCGACATTCACTTGCAACACTACGCTCGCACAATCAAGCGATAATATCAATATCAACCACTTTACTTGAAGGTAAAACATCTGAATATTGGCTACCCGGCGAGAAAAGTAACCGCATCATACTCGTGATACGTCACTTTTTATGAGCTTCCTTCATCACTCCACGACAGCCAGATGGCTTCCAAAGCGTCGCGGCGTTTTAAATTATTCAGTATTTAGTAAACTACTAAGTGGCTGTAAAGAAACCGTACCACTGTCAATAATTCAAGGTATTAACAGTTTACCTTTAAAAATGATGAGTTACTATGTCTTACACAGCATGAAGAAAAATAACAAACGAGAAAGGAACGTAAAGTTTATAAGAGCAGTTCATTAGCTTACCGACTCCAATATTATGAGGCTTGACATATTAGCCGCGGGATGCTCACGATTGTTATCCTACATTGCCACTTCAAGCTCAAATAGCCAGTCTCGAGATCTATCCATTAAAGGGACGCTATATCGCTGGATTCTACTCTATAGTGAACATAAAACTTTGTAACCAATGTCAACAAATGCACAACTGAGTGCACATTCAACATCACGGGAGACAAGATGCGGTCAAAGCGCAAAAGAGACTGGGGACGATATACAGATTGCACCCCATAATGCACCGCAATCGTTTCCCGCTTAAAATTGATTATTGCGGGAAGCTAAGCACGTTTTTTGTGAGTGCACCACCCTTAAGCACCACCCCGGGTATGTATCGATCGGTCGTCTTTTTTTTCTCGCGTTTAAATGGCTGACAGATCTTCGGCCAAAGGCGGATCACAAAGACTTGGCCGAAGACGGACACCGCGCATGAAAAGTCCCTGGCACCTAGGGTAGGCATTTTGTGATGTTAGAGAGATTAAGCATCGCGCTTACGGCAAACGGCAAACGTGAGATTCAAGTCGAGAAATTTTAAAAACGAAAAATGAGGAGATAAAAACAGCTTAAAACAATTGTTATGGATAGAATTGGCGTGAATCTACCGATTTTCGTGTAGTCTTACTGTGAAAAGTAATGAAATTAACAGTAAACGATATAAAGTAGATGAGAAACTTGGTCAAGTGGTACAAATTCACGTTTGCTGTAAACGCGACGAGAAAATAGCTTCTAAATTTCTAGCCTATTCCAAGCGTTCAGATAGTGGAGAGCGGTGCGGAGAGAGGTGCGGAAACTCTCTCACCTCTCCTCCTCCCTCGCTTTTATTTTTTCGCGCTCCTTTTTACTTCGCCCCGCTCCGCACTATCTGAGCGCCTGGAACAGGCTACTAAATTTCCAGACCTGCACAGGTACTCCCTGTGCTGACTATGATCAGGAGCTGCTATGATGGACTTAACGGAGATTCTCCCGAACGTCTGGCTAGAGTAGGAGCACATAACTGAGAGCTAGAGCAACGCATATATTATGGGTTGGTCCTGAGGAGGTATATATCTGTTATATGGGTTCCCATGGAGGTATATATTAGGAAAGTACAAGTATTGAAATATGACAAACGCCAAGCTGAGATAACAAGTACCATTTAGGCATTCAAAAGGAATGTGTTGCCACGGTAACCACTTAAAACGGACAGATAACAACTATTTTGGTTCAAACACTCATTGAAAAATCCAACTCTACAAATTACTGTTATGGCTTTGGCTTACTTTTTTGGTACGAACCACCTTAAGCGAGAAAACATCAAATATAAAAACCACAGTACTGCAGTTTAGGTTAGAAGCTCCCTGAAGGTGCACAATCCTTTTTTTTCCATGTCGGCAAATTGCGACGGGATAAATTTTATTGGTCAGTATGAGTCAGCAAGATCAAAATGATGGGAATGCTATTGAACGTTGTGCACCGTCAGGTTCACAAAAAATATATCACAAAGGAGTCTGTTGGGTTTCACAACCATTCCAATCTACTAACTATGATTGTGGTTATTTTTCACTACGTCAAGGGATAAGGACAACAGCATTCAACAAACACTTTATTTGAAATACTTTCCATACACATCCTTTTTGTGTAAATTTTTATTTGTAAATTCCCAATGAGCTGAAAAATTATGGGGAAAATGCAATTAAATCTGTTAAAAAGTTTGATTAAAAAAAAATAACTCTTAATTCTCGCAATAAAATAGGGTCATAAGTCTTTTTTTCTCAAACAATAATGACTTGATGATACATACATTTATTTATTTATAAGATAATTGCACTACGCGATTGTTTAGGAGGACAAATTATGACACAGTTTCCAGAAAAGTCTCGAAATAGCCAATAAAAAAGCGCCGTTACTTCGCCCAAAACAATCTCACTATGCAATTATACACAAAACTGACCTAGTCTCACAAACAACCTCAAATGGCCACTGATGGAGATCAAAATAAGACAACATGTTGCTGTGTGGTGGTTTCGATATGAAGTTATTCAAACCACCAGAATTTGGCAAAGATTTGTCTAGAATGTTTCCAAACACTAATGATGTTTTAAACTAAATGAAAAAGCTAAATGAAACTTTATATCTTGAAGTCATATTCCAACCACTTTTACTGTCCAATGGCCTTAGATAGATCTTAAACGCGTTTGAAATATTTCCGACAAGCGTCATATCTCTCAACATGTTTAATTTAAGCGATAAAAATAAGTAGGGCTCACTGTAAGAGAGCTACAACGAGATCTAAATTTGGCATCTTATCTTACAGCCTTACTTCTTTATGGTAAACTCCCAAAAAATCCGGTATACTTTTCAAGCAGCTCCTCTAAAGCCCACAACCTTTTAACATACTTTGCCCTTCTGCGGTATATCCTTTACCAGAATGAGAACTGACATCACATCATTCGTTTCATGATATTATTTAAGTTATCTTGTGCCAAATTTTATCTAGTCATTCTGAAAGTTTTCTTAAGGAAACAGGTTAGAGCATAATGTAGACAGTCTTGCATAACAGAGTTTAGACTATGACATCAACGATTTTAAAATTCCGGCGAATCAGACAAGAATTGATGCGGGCTGGCAATTGGAGAGACCACCTTCTCCTCGGAGATACTTGTGTCACTGATGTCAGACACCCTGAGCTCTTTCTGTATGCTTGCGATATCATTGTCAATTTCCTCTATTTCGGCCTCGAGGTCCTCTAAAACAAAAGGATAATTAAAATAACCAAGTTACATTTGTTTTCACCCTAAAGACCCATCACTTACAGTTTGGTGGAAGTACGTTCATCGCTCGACGTAGAGCATACTGTTCTCAGGTTCTATTTTAACAGTGAAACGATGGGTTATTTTCTGCAAATCAGAAAGATCTGTTTAGCCCGAAAAATGGGGCCATGTTGGTAAGTAAAATACAGTCCTGTTTTTGGGTCTAATTTGGCTCCTTTAAATCAGGGCATCCTGATCAGGGCCAATACCATCCAATTACCTAGGGTTGATTCTGATTTGGACCCAGGGGCTGAAGGGGATCCAGCGTGGACTAAAAGAGCCTTTTGATGGAGCTGTTTTGTCCTAAATGGGGCTCAAATGGCCAGGAGGGGCTGAATCAGACATTTTAATTTTCAGTGTATGTTCTGTCTTTATAAGTACTTTCAAGATTTAGAGAAATAAAAAAATAAAGTAGGACACTAGGTATATATTTACATGCTACCAAAGGGTTCACTTCGGAGAAATCTAAGAGCTATGGTCGGAAAATGACATTCTAACCTGGTAAGATGTCTGTAGCTTGATGACGTTCAGATTCCTTTGACTTTTCACTCTGAGAATGAACCATTGTCTGTGGGGATTTGCTCTTTAATTTCATTCCTTTTGTGGTTCCAAGTGGTTTCGTTTCAGTGTTTGACTCTGCTTTTGGTTCACTTCCCTCCTTACGAAGATCGTTTTTATCGCCTTTTTTTACGGCAAGCGCTGGGCTAACAAACTGGGGTTTCAAAAGTTTAGGCATTTTAGGTCCTTTGCCTTCCTTCGCTATAGGAGGCTTAAAAGCTTTAACTAACTTCGGTAAAGGCTTCTTTTGAGTAACTTTTTCAGTCAAGGATACTCGCACATCTGTATTGGCAGAAGATCTTTTAAGAGTAAAGCCAGAGTTCTGGGGTTGTGGATGGTTTTCTGGGTGCAAACCGTCTCCAGGTGGTTCTTTTTTACCAGTTCCTTCTGAACTCGGGGTTAATTCTTCACTACCTTTCCCTGACTCCCGTCCTTCGTTCCCTTTTTTGAAACTTCCCGCTGTTTTCCTCTTTTCATTTTTATTTGTCCTCTTCTTGTGACTTCCAGAATCTTTTTCCTTATCTACTCCGTTTCCCCCGCTTTCAGGACATGGACCTTCAGCTTTGGTTCTATCTTCAGTAGGCCTTTCCCGTTCTTTGGTTTTACTAACGGCTTCTTCTCGTTGGTTTTCTATGGAATCATCAAGATTAGACGTGCTAGGTGAAAAGGAATTATCCCATTTCACCTCCTCCCGCACAGCAGTGTCAGGAGGATCTTTTTCTATCTTCGCAGCAACTTTTTTCTTCTTCTGATTACTTTCCTCGCACGCTGTTCGCTTCTTTTGTGTTTTCAGTAAAGTGTTTAAACTCATGACGTTGGCATCTGCCTTTTCGTGTTGTTTGATTTTAGCTGAATTTTCCAAAAGGCTGACATTAGAGTTATCCTCCTTGCTTTTCTTAGCATTCTTTCTACCTCGCACTTCATCAGACTTCTTCCTCTTTTTAACAACTTTTACTTCTAAACTGTTTGATTCAACCAACTTCTTGGCACTTGGTTTAGTCATACTCCTTTCATTCTCACATATGGTGTCCTCAGAATATATCTTACTGTTCAAAGTGTTGGGAACAGGGGCCTCACAGTGATTACTGAGCACCATTTCTGTGTTTTTATTCTTGCCTTGATCTCCCTCTGTTGGTTGTTCAGTATCCATTTGCATCTCGATATTCGTACTTGTACTACTACTCTGAGGTGCTAATTCTACGAGAAATAAAAAATAAGCGACGCAAACATTAGTGAACGTACTAACGTGTATCTATGCTACTCTTTAGTACAGTGCTGGAGAAGTTACTAACTTAGACTTTCCAAGTGAATGTAAGGCTAGGCCACACTTTGCTTTTTCTGTGTTGGTGGGCAGGGGGAATCCTAGAATAACTGAGAACTCGTGACAGGGTCAAAATTCCTTAAATAAAAATTCATTTCTGAAAGAGCACTATACTTTCAGCATTACGGTGCTACACATACCTTATCTTCGTAGAAATCAAGTTACTATAGATGTAATTTTCATGGTGTAAAGAAGCCTTGCAGTCCAGCATTGTCGGTCGAGGGTATTTTAATTGTTAAATCGTTTCTTGTTTTTTTTTTTGGTTATTACATGTGACACGATCTAACCATAATTTCCAACAATTTCCTTAAATTCATAAATATAAGTTAATGTACCTTTACTTCCATAAGGTGTTATAGAGGCGTCCGCGGTGGCTTTCTTCGCTTCCTTCTTCCCTGCCTTTTCCTTTCTGCCAGCAGAATCGGCTGGTTTAGTTTGTTGCATTTTCTTTTTCTCACTCTTGATCGGTGTTTTAGCTGTCTTTTCTTTGCGTGTTTTGGACTTGAGTGGGGTTTTTGGTTTCAATCTTTTAGGTTCATCTGGACTGCTATAACTGTTTTCACTAATGAAACTGTTTCCGCTGCTACTGAAGTCCTGACTTGATGAATCTGTAACTGTAAAATAAAACATTCAACTTCGTTAGTCCTGAAAACCCAAAATTCAAACAATTTTCTGCAAACATTAGTAGTAGTTTTTTNGTTTGTTGCATTTTCTTTTTCTCACTCTTGATCGGTGTTTTAGCTGTCTTTTCTTTGCGTGTTTTGGACTTGAGTGGGGTTTTTGGTTTCAATCTTTTAGGTTCATCTGGACTGCTATAACTGTTTTCACTAATGAAACTGTTTCCGCTGCTACTGAAGTCCTGACTTGATGAATCTGTAACTGTAAAATAAAACATTCAACTTCGTTAGTCCTGAAAACCCAAAATTCAAACAATTTTCTGCAAACATTAGTAGTAGTTTTTTTTCTATACCCCTTAAAAAAAGAAGCATTATTACTGAGCGTTTATCGTCACAAGTGAGGATAGAGGTCTTTTAACCTCTCGTGATCATGAGAATCTTTACAAAACAAGTCCACATGAACAAAAGGCATAAGGTGTCAAACTTTATCTTTCAGGGTAATGCATGGAAACCAATTTTACTGCCCCACGATGTTGTCTGCCCTATTCCTGTCTCTAGAAACTGAGGTGAACAACGCCAGGAAAGTACTATCAGATCATTGGAAATGTCTAACATTTAATTCGAATGCATAGACCAACGGAAACTTTTTTAATTATTAAAATTTAATTCCACCCATTTCCTTTTCCTACCCGAATCACTAAGTTCTCCTGTCTCTAGACTGATCGACCGTTTACTCTCTTCAACTGCCTTTCTACCAATGGGTCCTTTGTAGCGTGCTGCAAAGCCATATTCTGCAAGCCGACGCTGTAAATGAAAATAGCTTTTTTCATTTTAAGAGAAAGAAAGAAGTAATAGTTAGTTATCTATAAAAATTAGGGACCTTATGACAGGGTGGTATCTGCCAATCAGAGCAGAACCAAAGAGTTGGTATATATAATGAGAAGAATCAATTTTGCTAAGCCCGGGAACGAAGTTTTCTTTGACGCACCTCTCCTGACTCCCTAGGAGTTACGTCATGTTGTTTTAACAATTGAGAAGCACATGCACCAATTGGCAAATGTATGACGGTGCTCCAAGCCCGCCTTTTTTAAAAGTCGCCTTTTGGCAACCTAAAATTATAAAATGGTCGCCAGACATAAAATATTTTTTGTGCAACACTACAGAAAGGTTTGAAAGAATCAAAATGGCTGCCGAACAATCGCAATCGATTTTGGGCAAAGGTACACGCGACAACTCAAGGCTTAATACCCACAGAACAAGGGCGAAATTAGGCAAATTACAAAGAAAACAGAGCATAAATGACATTTAATTCAAATGTCTATCTCACTTTAACTTAAAAAGACCATAAACACTAACTACTAGAAAAACGCGTCTCGCAAAATCTCGGGACTTTGGCACATGACCGCCAAAATGGCGACTTTCACTACTCCCCCAAAACGGTCACAGCTTGGAGCACTGTTCAGTGAACCCCCGCTCACTAGTAATAGTTTTGATACTGTGACTCCGCATCATCTGATGAAAACCAGCATTACCTGGTTACGATCTATGACAATGTCACTCGGTTTGGTGAGACAAACGAGTTTCATTAGAAAAAGGTATTTACATAACATGGTACCTGAAGAGGCAACTGCGCTGCCCTCCGTGCTGCCAGGGTAACTGCGGTGAGCTGTCTTCTGTAATTCTTCCCTTTAAATGTAACCTGGATTTCAAAGTATTTAGAGAACGTACGAAATAAGTCGGAAATCCAACCTGCTGAAAGATACATTCCTTGCGAGAGTAAATGAATCCGGCACCAACCTGAAAGAGGCGCTTTGAGACGCCTTAAGTTAAGTTCAGAGCTGTCCCCTAACTTCCCTCTAATCAGTGGATGGGGGAATATGTTTTTGTGTTAATAATTAATTTGTTCTAGCTGGCAAATCAGGGCGAAAACAAGAGACGTCTACGGCGTCTTTGAGAAAATGCTTTATTTGCTGAAAAATGTTGCTAGCATAATATAAATATGACAACAGAATTGCATATTATATCACAATTTTCGGTCCACTACTTACGGTATTTCAGCTCTCATATAATACAATCTGACGAGTGGATTTCTCCAAAACACTAATCAAACCACATTACAAGAGAACACTCGTCGTGTAGTCGCTAAACTGACCTTCCCCATGTCCTCTGGGTCGTCATCACAGGAAAAGTTTCGGATACAAACGGCATTCACCCAAGTTCTCGAAACTTCTTTATCGAAAAATACCACGTGGTACATCTCCTGAAATCAGATAATTCACAATTATTAGATGATGTCTTCAAAATACACTGTATCCGGATTATTCGGAAAATCTCAAAAACGTTGCCTGGTAGCTGTTTTATTATATATCTTTTGCAAAGGAAATAATGACGTAGTACTGTCACAAGGAACAGAGTTTAATATCTTCCAAGACAAATTAAAGAGTAGAAATGATATAACTTGACATGACTGTTGGAAATCATGCACTCAACTCGACCTAGAGATTATTCACATATTAGCGACAAAATTTTGTTTTTTGTAAGTTGCGCTGATTTCCAAAATTAAGTGTAGGCTCTTAGCCAACGAGAAGGCGGATTGTGACTACAATGTCAGTAGAATTATTATGTATGATAATAATATACTTAAGGCAAGACTGTAGCAGTTGCTATTCAATTCAGTAAGGGCTCTTCTGTTTCTACTGAGTTAGAGTAACAGACATTGCTTGTTATTAATTCCCGACGTTTGGCGCGTATTTACCGGTGTGACATTGTCTTCACCGGTTTCACAGTAGTAACCATAATCTGGATCGTCCTCCATCATTGCTGGCCACCTGGCAATGAAAGAGAATTTTAATCATTGTTATATTGAGACTGTTATTGCCACCCTTAATTTAAATTTGCAATCACAGCAGAAATTTTCCACAGCCAAATACGTGACTATCTTCAGGATTTATAAAGTAGATTTTTTTGTTTTACCTGTTTCTAAGTGCGGGTGAAGATCAGTTTAGGTTTACTGACAACTTATTGGTTATTAGAGACGTACTCTTCTTTCAACAGCATTTTAATGAAAAGAGTTTGAAAACGCCCCTTCCCCAAGCGGTTCGTTTTGTTCCGCAGGGTGCTCCAAAACTACCTATGTCCGATTGTCCGGGGCAGGTTAAAATTTTGTTCGGACAGGTAAACGTTTGACATTATTAGAAAAAATACAGAAACAGTTGAAGATTGACTTTAAATTACAATAGAGTTAAAATGTTTCTTATAGTCATGAAAGCAAACCTCATATTTGACAAAATAACGTTAAATAATCCTTTCAAATTTGCCATACCGCAGCCATTTCATTTGTTTTTACGAGCTCTATTTGGCTTATGAACCTGACAAAACTTTTTGGACAAGAACTCTTGCGTTTTCGACAACCAACTTTAATATAGTGCTTGTCCGAGGGACAAATAGATAAGAAAATTTTTCTCTTACTCTGGTTCCGCAAACTCGGACTATACATAAATGTAATTCGTAGCATTTACATAAAGGAATACGTAATACCTTTGGCAGATCTACCCAGAGAGGTCGTACCTATGATCAATAAAGTGGGCAATTTTTTTTGAATGGCCGCTTACTGACTGGATTTCTTTGAATACAAAATCAGACAAGTTTGATCCTACACAAAAGCCTTTTACTGTCCTATTTCAACTTCAACTTCAACTTTATTTAAATTTGAAAATATAGCAAAAGATACATTGGGACTGGCCTGCAGTTAGCGAGGCTATTCGAGGCAGGCCAGGCTACATAATTTGCAACAAACTAGACAAATACAAAGAAATTAGGCGTTATACAAAATCTGTACGGGAAAAGTCTGAATAGGCCATTTGCACGAAGAGGTGATGTGACATTATTGTCATGAAAATGAAAGTTATATGATTTTGCCTGTAAAAAAACATTAGTGGGTCATATCTTAAACAAAATAATAGTGATTTAATGAGTCAGTTCATAGCTGGTCACGTGACGAAAATAAGATCTTTAAAACTATGAATTACTTCTTTCTGAACAGAAATTTTGCACCTAAACTTCAAGGAAATTGTTGAAAAGATGATGTGGTAACGCTTTCAGCACATCTGAACGTAACTATCAAACGTTTAACGGGATACAAGCAAAAAATAGTTTTGGCCGCCATGTTGGAGGGAAAGAGTATGCCATCCAACACAGCGGCCAATTCAAATCCTACTACTTTGTTGAAAAATCAAAGTGCCATAAAATATCTCCTTTAAATGCGTTTCCCCTCAAATTTCGGGTGTAAGATAATCTTTATGCCCTCCGTCAATTTTTGGCATCAGCAAGAGTCCAACCCATTTTTTAAAGGAAGCATTGGTCACGTGACCTCTTTATGCGAGTGGCCTATTGTTAATTTACGACGGTTTCTGAATAGCGTATTACGAGAAAAAGGAAAGCAGAATTACCAGGGATAACCAACCATCTTGGCCCACACGATTGCGCCACTCGGGTAAGGTGTGTACATCACGTCCAAGTTGCCTTCTTGGCTGTCGAATGTTTCTTGCGATGCACTACACTCATTATATTTCTCATCTAAGGGTAAGAAAGTGAGACCCACGTAAGAGCTTTTGAAGTCGTTATAAGGAAGCTGCAAGCGAAAAAGGGTTGCTTGCTTAGATTTAGAACGGACCCTATGTTGTAAACAATTGTTCTAAAGGCGAAGTAGGGGGAAACAGACCTTTTAGGACAGTCATTAGAGTTTTGTATGCTCCACGGAGTTATGCTTCATGGGATAACACAAGAAACGTTCTCGTCCAATCGGAAGAAGAGAAAATGATTATGTCAGGTAATAGTTCATCGACAGATGCTTTAAAGCAAGTTTAATAGTCAAACAAGAAGTACTTTCTAAAAATTAGCAAGCCAAGAGTGACTTACTTTCGTTCATCGCACACACCCATCTTTCGGGCAGCTCATTTGGGTCAACATTGCTTTGAAGAAATCTCCATTTACCACAACTAGGAATGCTGCACTGAGCCCAAGTTCCCTGTTTGTCTGTACCCTGGAGGTCAGCAAGGAGTTCAGAGTTCTGTAATATCAACAAAAAAGTATTAAGACAAGTCTTATTTCTAAGGCTTATCTTAATTGAGTTAAGCATTATCATCAAGTTCCTTTCTACATTTTCCCTAATCTGAGATCAGGCTCCATTTTCGTTTCGCTTTGTAAATAACATTCCGTTAAAAATGGGCCTGATCTCAGGTTACATTTTCCCTACCTCACTGGACTCAAAGCTATTAATCAGAAGCAAACTGTAATCAAACTAAGCAGTCTCTACTGGTTATTCACGTTCGGTGAAGATTTCAGAACATCCTAGTGCATCCACATAGCTGCCTTCACCCTTCCATTTTTCAACAAAAGATATTGATATTCCGGTTTCCAGATACAAGTTGAACAACATAAACCAACCTACCTCTTTCAGTGTAATGGTATTTTGTCCTTGGTCGATGCCTTTTCGTTTTCTGACCTTTCTGGGCTTTGCTAGTTTTCTTTTTTGCTTTGCTTGGCTTCCTGTATTCGATAGTTGAGAATCATCTTGACTCTAAAAAGATTCAAAGAAAAATAAAATTGAAAAAAAAGCAATAAATTTCCATACTTGTCATACTTTACTTTCTCAAGTTTTCAACTTGGCCGCGATTTTCATAGACTATGACCGTATGATTAGAGTTTTTACCTGACTTGCTACAGGGTCATCACGACTGTCATTACAGCTAGTTGGAACACACTGGATATCCTCCTTGTCACATGCAGGCTTCCTAACTGCAAAGGAGCCAAAATTGATTTTTATTGGTAGGCTATCGAGGTGAATGCTTTTACTACGTAGTTGTCTTGTCGTGTTGATGATTACAGATAGTCCAGATTTGGTAAATGTTAAGGCAAGGTAAGTACCAAAAGACAGTACAATACCGCAATAATGTACATGAACATTACAGGAAACTTGCATTAGAGTGAGACAAGTCTCTTTCATGCAAGATCAGTTTTCTTGAAACCAATGCACAGGTAACTTAAAGGAATGAATAGAACAAGGCAAAAGGGAAAAACAGAAGCTAGATTGCACTAACAAACATTTCTGCACCTGATTGAAAAGAAAAACCTATGATATATTGAAGAGGATATAGTCAAAAACGACTGACTGTTGACTGAATTAAAAAATGAATCTTGATGACTGAATGACCAAATGAATGAAGAAAGGACAGAAGGAAGGAAGGAAGAATGAAAGGAAATAGAGTCAATCAATGATAAATGGAATGATGAACAACCTAATAAGCACACAAAAAAATCCATCAATTTTTTGAATATGAATAAAATACAAGAATGAAATTGTCTATATTCATTGCATATGTCTCTCATTTCTCTTCATTTACTTCCCTTTTCCAAGAAGCAAAAAATAGGAGATGTCTGTACATAGTCAAAAATATAAAAGATAGACAGATAATTGAACAATTAATGACACCTTTTGCAATCTCTTCTTGCTCTGTATCACTATCTTGCATGTTTTGTAAGGATTCTGACAACTCAGGATAGAGATCTGGAACTGGTACGTTCAGTTCCTCACTGTACTCAGTATCCCACACTGGCTCTTGTATACTTGTTGCCAAGGACTTGGAGGAAAGAAGCTCTGTGGAACTGTTCTATCATATGAAATGTCAAGAAGATGTAAAAAAATTAGTAAATTATTCAGTTAAGTTAAGATTGGCATATCCCTTTGGACTATTGACACTTTAACTGTAAAGCCAATTTATTGTAAAGCTGAATTTGTGAGCAGGCAAAATGAGGGTAATCTTGCACTCTGCTTGGCATCTCCCCATCTCTCCCACTCGGGATTTCCCGCACTGATCCCGCGAGAAAAAGTTCTCTTTTTGCTCATAGAATAAATCCCTTCGCAAACAATTCTTGAAAGGACCACTTGGACAAACAGCAAGGAGAGAAAGACGGATCTTGGTGTAGATCAGGATCAGGAATATAAAATAACACTTAAAAATTTAGGACAAGGCTGATCAGACAGCTAAAGGTTGGTAATATATTTGCCCAAAATTTTGACCAGACAAAACTAGTTTTCCTCTTTATTGACCAAGCACGATGGTTGTATATTAGCCTTGTTCCTTTTTGTATCCTTATGGACAAAGATGCAAAGAATAATTTGGTCAATGTCCAGCCATCTTAACCTCACTGAGCTTGGTCAATAATGCAAACTAAAAAAAAAAAAGTGGCAAAATATTCAAGGGGCTCTTAAGAACAACTTTCCTACTTAAAACGGTCCACATATTCATTTTGCACATGGAGTTACGTTGTTGCAATAACCGATTTACAATACTAAGATATATGATACATTCAATGCCACCTTACACCATTTAACTTGATGCTGTAACCAAAAAAATAGAAAAAAATTTCACTGAGCTCAAACTTAGTAATATAATGTCGTCCACCTTGTACATATTCCTGTAAAGCCATTTTATTCCTAATTTTTTTCTTTTTTGCAAAAACAGGTAGACCTACTGGATGGCTGTAGAAAGAAAGCCACTTTTAACAATCTATCCTTACCTTCCTTACCTTGAGAACTTTGCTGTTAGATTTACTCTTTGATTTCAAGATCTCTTCTTTGGCTTCAGAACCTTTGTTTTTACGTTTTTCTGAAGAAACAAATGAGAACCATAACATGAATTAGAATCATTGATGCATGACGTCTACAGCAAGAAAACACTTTAATAACAAACGTCTTCATGTATTGAGACCCGGTGGTCACTTGGCAAAAGTGAAGTGATTGATGGGTTTTTTTGTCGCTGTCAGAAATAGTTAAATGCTACTCGTCACAACTCAGTCTACACTACTTACAGAAACATTAGAAAAGCGTTAAAAAGCTTATCCTGTTTGGGAGGATATCTTCCTTTTCTGCTAAATAAGCACACGGTTAGATTCGCGTAAAGAATAACTCAAATTTCCAATACGTATATCCTCCAAGCAACTACTTACTAGCCAGTTGCAACGTAAGCTTAAGCTTATTTATGCATGTAGCAACTAGTGAGAGCAAAGGTACTAGATTGATGTCCCAGAGCTTTGGCATGATTAACAGATTGCTGCGCTGCTAAATTTAACTAGCTTCCGGAGAACTTAAGCCCGAGAATAAAAGGATAAAACGGGGTATGTAATAACGTGTCAAATGCCAATCAGAGATCTCGTAAAAAAAAGATATAAGGTTAAGTCGCTTGACGCCGGCGCTGAATCTGTATTTCTTGAAAGTCTGAAAATATTGTGACTTTTGACAGCTGGACATGAGAAAAACCACAAAAAATGTTCTTATAATTTCATTTTTATCTTTTGAAGATGTAATTTGAACAGGAATTCCCGGCTCTTACCTACTGAGTTCTTCTTAAATGCCGAAGTCTCGCAAAATGACGGAGAGGTGGTCGCCATTTCTCATTTCTTCATCAAAATTTCCCGCCGACTGCATGACAGCCGCGTTTTCCCGTCACGTGTCACGTGGTACTACAGTTTCACTTTTGCTCCTTTTTGCGTCGTTGCAGTTTCAATTTTTTTAGTCTTCGCGCCGGTATTGAATACACGTTTCTAGGAGCAAGGAAAAAAACGCCTCTTCATTCGGTTTTCGCTTAAAGGGCAAATAAGAAAAAATGACGTCATAGACAAGTAACAGCTCGCGCAACTAGTCTAGACAATCTCGCGTGAAATGTACTACCACAGAGGTTTTCACACTATTTATCGTAGTGAGAATAGTGAATTGTATAGCCTGCGTATCTGGCGGTTTTTTCTTTTGTGCTTTGCAATGTAAGAGTTACAGCTAGGCTTTGGTAGATTGTGCTCGAAAAAAAAGCATATTATGCTTTTAGCAGTGCTCATATTTTTTCGAAATTACGCCAAAATCATGCTACTTTCTGAAAATTATGCTCTCTGTCACCGAAATTATGCTACTCAGATTTAACACTGATTTTAAGGAAAATAAAGATCATCAGGAGCTTAACTCTATCAATTTTGACTTTAATGAACATTCATTCATTCCACCTTCCAGTCTTACAGTCTTTAGCATCGCAAATACGCATGTGCGCACATGATCTCGCTTTTTTGTCACTTTTAACTTCTCTTTATCTGCGGCATGTTTTCTGAAAGCCAAGTGGTTTTGGAGAATGCTCGGGTCTTTTTAGAGCTCAATAGCTCCTTACACCCATTGCAGAACAGTTTTCCACCTCGAAGACACAAATTTTCCCCTGGGAATTCTTCGATTCGATCACGAGGACTCATGTTCTTTGGATTTGAGTTACCTCTTTCCTTGTACTTCCGGTATTACTTTTAGGAACACGTTCTCTAGAGATTAAAGCTCTCGGTAGGCACCGGAAGTGAATGTACTCGAGGACGACGCTATCTCTGATCTGAGGCCTGAGGGGCCGAGCCGCCGAGCCATAAGTGGGTGGCCTGAGTCTCAGTCTTACGCACAGGGTTACCTCTGCCGCCTGTCGGCCCATATTTGACCATGGGCCTTAGCACAGACCTCAATATTTTACAAAAACAATACAGAAATAAAATGCGAACCGTATTATTCTAGAGCTATGATGGCTTTTTTTGTTTTCAACGTATCAAAGCTCGGATTATGCTAGCAGTGGTACACTGAAATAAAAGCTTAAAATAATGCTCGTTTTGCTGAATTATGCTTAAAATTATGCTAGCTCAATCTACCAAAGCCTAGTTACAGCCCCGCGAAAGCTGAACCGAGAACGCAACAGAAAACTACGGGGAAGAAGGCAGTGAGAAGCAGCGTTTCCTTTGCCTTCCCTTCCCCTCTGCCCCTTCCCCTCTTTATCTCGCCCCGTTTTGTGCGCAATCGCTACTCAAACGCCAATCTAAAAAATTTCGGTATTTTCCGCAATGACGTATACGTCTGATCAGCTTGTGTTTGGTTCACGTCCCTGCTACAAGGTTTTGCTCGACGGTTTTTCAGCTTTGGCCTCTCTACCCAGACACCAGCGTTCCCATCCTCCAATGAGATCAGAAATTTGGTAAATGAAGTACCACTAAGTAGACGTCTTACAATTAAAACCTTATTTTATTTCATTCCACGCGATATTTTGAACTTTCACTGGTAAAATACCGAAAGCATTAACCTTATGGCTGAATACTGACTGACTACTACTAAAACTATTATGGATCTTATTTTCATAAAAAGAATTATCAAAAGTAAGACAGTGCACACAGCTTTATGCTCTTACAGTCAGTGTCGGATCCA